GGCTCCTTTAACCTAGAAAGGGAAAGTTTTCATAACTTCTCATTTTCCAGTCCTTTGTCCTCTCCCTCCTTACAAAGTATTAACAGCCTCCTCCATGACCATCAAAAGAAGCTTAGGGAGTTATTGTCAATTAATTCAGCCTTGTTTTTTCTAACATTTTTCCAGCACACATGACAGCAAACACTCCAGATCTCATTTTTAGTGTAGCACAACAGAGGGTCTACAACAGATAATGAAACACCCAACAGAAACTCTGTGCATGGTTGCTCGTTCTCACTATTGAGCTTATTGAGAGCTGCCTGTTATCACATCTATTGCAATATCTTGAATGATCTCTGAAAATCCCCTGGGCCCTGGTGTGCTCATCTGAAAAAAGCTGAGCCTCTTGCCAACACTCGCTGTTTCACTGGGGAACTTCCACAAGAGCGTGCTGGCACCCAGCCCACCCAGCAGGAGAAAGTGTACATAGCAACCAGCTTCTCAAGTACAAAAAGCACCCACCCCAGGCTTTTATCAACCCTGACACCCATGCCAAGGTTTAAAATCCACTTACCTTCTTTACACGTGTTCCTTTAGGTCTGTACATACTCCAAGGAGCTTTCAGAGAGCAGCACAGCACAGGTCAGAGCCCACAGCCCAGCAGTGCCTCCCACAGCCCAGCAAAGCCAAGGGGCTGCTCGCCTTCCCCCACAGCCGCTGCTCTGCTGGGCCAAGAGATCCATTTTAATCAATTTTTATACCTTTTTCACAAAGCAGGGCGGGCAGAGCTCCATGTGAAAGCCCCTCACCAGCCCAAAGCTCAGGCTCTATACCCAGGAATCCCCCCCCCTTTCCCTGGCTGCTGATATGCCCCAGGGCAGGTGATGGGATTTACAGATTTACAGTGGGCAATGAGAGTCACCTGCAGGCACCCCACAGGATGTGTCCCCTTCCATTTGCCTTTCCAAACACCTGCATCACTCGTAATTAATTCCCTTTACTGTCCTAAATCACTGTTCACACTCCAGTGTCTGAGATATTCTCAGAAACCACTCGCTGGCTCCTTCTTCTGTAAATTTGGGTTAGTGGAGAACAAAGAACTGCCATGTTTTTCACACGTCACAAATCTCTGTCTCTTATTTCAGTTCTTTTCCTTTGTCAGGCCTGGTTGCTGGTGGGTTTGCCACCCCACACTCCCTGATGTGTGCAGCAGGCTCTCCTTCCCTGTCCTGCCCCTCGGGCACGGGGCATCCTCACCGCAGCTGCCAGCAAGGCTGATCCCCAAAGCGTGTCTCCATCAGAATCCTGGAAATTATTGTGAAATATGCAATGGTTCTGTTGTAAATGATCAAATCGGAAACCAAATTTGTAAGAAAATTTAGCAATGATTTATTAGGTCGTTAACAAAATAGAATTTAGAGGAAAAAACCACCACAGCCAAGGCAGCGTCAGCCCCGGGTGCTGGTGCTGGGTGATCCTGGATCCGACTGACAAAGTGTCAACATCTCCCCAGTGGTTCACCCCAGTGCTTCATGCAGCCAGCTTATAAACAGTTTATTCTGCCTGGGGCAGAGATGAGAGCTTATAAACAGTTTATTCTGCCTGAGGCAGAGATGGCCAAATGTTCCTTTGTGTCCCTTCACATGCAGAACTGGGGCCATACATGTGCAGGGATGGACAACAGTGAGTCCAGGTGTCTGGATGGATGTCTGAGCACTTGGGCAGAGCCTGCATTCACAGGTAGCAGAGTGGCACCAGTGCTTGAGTGTGGTAGATGCAATAGATGCAATCTCCCAGGTGCAGGTCCTGGTGAGTGGCTTAGGCACTCCAGGGAAGTCAGCAATCATGGCCCGGGAAGGTTCCATTCATACAGACTTGATATTATCTTAACGTTGTCCGGGAACTAATTGAATAAAAATAAGACTCTGCTCCCAGCCTGGGTGGTCAAAGACATAATTTGGAGTCTACAATATTTTTATACATATATAGCATGAATTATCTCTACCATATACTACAGTTCCCAGTCCCCTGGAAACTCTAATGTATATGGGAAAAGCCACAGAGTGTAGTTTTTATTGAGAAAACACAGCAGTGGATGTAGAGCAGCAGAGGGGCCTGTGCTCTCAGCAAGAGCTTGCAGTGGGGAACCTGCTGCCCTGCCCATGTGTGTGGGGCAAACCAAGGGCTCAGAGGAGGTTTCAGAGTCAACATCACCCCCATCCTCTTCTGGGGGGGCTGTAACAAAGTGTAGCTGCTGGCTAAGCCCAGGCAGCATGCAGAAAGTGAAATGTAATGACACTGGAGAAAGCACAGCAGGGCCATGGGTGGAACTAGAGGGGCTGGCAGCCTCAGCACATGGACCCATCTTCCAGGCTCTCCTGCAGGCCTCTCCTGTGCTGCCTGGCAGGACTGGGGGTGTCCTGGACACAGGAGACTCGTCAGGGTTTGAACACTGACCAGGCAGTGCTCTTCACAAAAGAGCAGCAGGCTCACTACCCAACTTTAGATCCTGATAGTGATCACAGCCACCAGGAAACAGTCCAATTGTGCAAAGCAACCTTGGTATGAGGGGGTGGGAGTGTATTCCCACAGGCACTTGCTGAAACATCTCTTCATCTTCTCCTGGCAGCACACAAACAGCCATCGACTTTGGCAGAGCCCAGCCAGGCTCAGAATCTCTGCCTCCATCTCTGGCTCTCTCCATCCTTCAGGCTCAGGAGGGCCCAGGCTGTGGGCAGAGCTGCTGGTGACCCTGCTGGCAGATGTGGGTCTCTGAGAGAGCAGCACCAAGAGCTGCAGAAATGCAGAACTCACACACCACTTTACAGCAATGCAGCCACAGCCCAGGCTGGGGCACCACCACAGTGCTGGTGGCACCAGGCACAATATTTTGCCTACCCTGGTGCTCCTGCATCAGCTTCTCTGGAAACTGGAAAGGGAGGGTGTGCTAGATAACATTCAAGTGCTGAAATGCAAAGCAGGGCTGTGTCACCCAGCTGGCTCCCTGTAGAAAGTGCTGCTGGTACTATGCACAAGAGATAGAAAATGTGTCCCTCCAGAGCAGCTGCTGAGGCACTGCTTCCTGCTTGCATTTTCCAAAAAACCCAAAATTCAAGGCAGGGTACCCCTCGCCACCATCTTGTTTTTGGTCCCCACTTTGCCCTGTACCCACAGCACCCACCCCCCAGGGAACTCCACCAGACTGAGGCAGGGGGTTACTGAAAGTGCTGTATTTACAGGGCAGTATTAACTTCTGCTGCTGTTATTTACAGTTTATTTACAAATAACCCCTGTAGTCACCAAGAGCTGAACACGGCAGAGTCAGACAGAGCTTTATGGCAGGCTGGCACGGCAGAGCAGGCAGTTTCTGTTCCTTTCCAGCCCTGCCAAGGGAAGGGCTTCCTTGATTTGCCTTCCCCTGGACGGCAGAGGCAGCGCCTGTTAATGAGTAACAGGGGAGCAGAGGTGACTAACGCACACCTCAGCTTCTAATGCTGCTTGCTGCAGGTGCCACGAGGAAAACACCAAGCCCAGGCTTCAGGTGAAGTGTTTCCAGGGCTGAGGGCAGCTGTGCCCACTGGCACGGCTCGGTGCCCAGGAAGTACAGCTCTGGCACACACAGTGTGTCACAGGTGTGCTGGGACAGGTGTGCTGTGCTCTGGCAGTGACGGTGTGTCACAGGCTGTGCTGTGCTCTGGCACACACAGGGTGTCACAGGTGTGCTGGGACAGGTGTGCTGCTGCTCTGGCACACATGGGGTGTCACAGGCTGGGCTCACACAGGTGTGCTGTGCTCTGGCACACACAGTGTGTCACAGGCTGTGCTGTGCTCTGGCACACACAGTGTGTCACAGGCTGCTGCTCTGGCACACACAGGGTGTCACAGGTGTGCTGTGCTCTGGCACTCACAGGGTGTCACAGGCTGGGCTCAGACAGGTGTGCTGTGCTCTGGCACACACGGGGTGTCACAGGTGTGCTGTGCTCTGGCACACACAGTGTGTCACAGGCTGTCCTGTGCTCTGGCACACACAGGGTGTCACAGGCTGCTGCTCTGGCACACACAGTGTGTCACAGGCTGCTGCTCTGGCACACACAGGGTGTCACAGGCTGGGCTCACACAGGTGTGCTGTGCTCTGGCACACACAGTGTGTCACAGGCTGTGCTGTGCTCTGGCACACACAGGGTGTCACAGGCTGGGCTCACACAGGTGTGCTGCTGCCCTGGCACACACAGGGTGTCACAGGCTGTGCTGTGCTCTGGCACACACAGTGTGTCACAGGTGTGCTGTGCTCTGGCACACAGTGTGTCACAGGCTGGGCTCACACAGGTGTGCTGCTGCTGTCCCGTGTCACTTGGGGCAGCAGAGTACCAGGCTGCCAGGGACAGTGTCCCTCCTGGAAGGGTGGCAGGCTCCCTCCTGGGGATGGAGCCTCCGCCACCAGCTGCCTTTGAACTTAAATGTCCACTGACGGGCTGCAGGGTGCACAAACACCGACATCGCCTTCCCGCAGTTGGGAAGCGGGTCTGACAGCCCTGCCAGATGTGGAGCTCCTCTGCAGACCTCCCGGGGCTGCCCTCCTCGGTCACCAGCAGGGAACGGGACCGTTCCGGGCAGCAGGCAGGGGGTGCCGGGCCAGGTCAGCCCTGCCCTGCGAACACAGCTTTCCCCGGGCACAGGGCAATAAAAGAGACGAGCTTTCCCCGTGGTGTTTGTCGGATCTCCCTCTCCAACAGATCAGTCCGGGTTTAGATGGAGTCTTCCAGGGAATACTAACAGGGGGCAGCAAGGGGCCGGCTGTTCCCTTTTCACTCGGGTTTGCAGCCCGGCTGCCAGAGAGGCGCCTTACAAAGGGACTTTTGGCTCGCCCCTGTGGTTCCCGGGTTTTCAGCCACGCAGGGGACAAAGATGCAGTTTATGCCCCAGGACCGATTTCCCAGCTCTGCCCGCCCTGGCCAAGCACCCGGCAGCTCTGCCCTGCCCCTGCAGCCCGGGACCACAGCCCGTGCTCGGTGCCTGCCTGCTCAGGGCGCGATGGCCGATGGCTGCTTCCTCTGCTCCTGCCTCATCTTCAGGGCCAGCATGGCCCGGCGGTACAAATCTGGGAACAAGGGGGCAGTCAGGCCCTGAGCTGGACCAGCTGCACGGCCCAGCTGCAGCCTGTGCTCAGTGCTCAGGCAGGGACAGCCCAGACCCCAGCACAGACACCCGGGTGACCTCCCTGCATCCCACCCCATAGCATGGGTGGCCTCCCTGTATCCCACACCACAGTATGGGTGGCCTCCCTGCATCCCACCCCATAGCATGGGTGGCCTCCCTGTATCCCACCCCATAGCATGGGTGGCCTCCCTGCATCCCACCCCATAGCATGGGTGACCTCCCTGCATCCCACCCCACAGCATGGGTGGCTTCCCTGTATCCCATCCCATAGCATGGGTGGCCTCCCTGTATCCCACACCACAGCATGGGTGGCTTCCCTGTATCCCATCCCATAGCAGAGGCAGCAGCCTCTGCCCCCACAGCAGCACCCCAAGCCCTGCAGCAGCACTTGTCTGTGCCCATGTCCCCACACCAGGCCCCCCATGGCCAGTGTCCCTGCACAGCCTGCTGCCAGCAGGCCAGACCCCTGGTGCTTTCAGCAAAATCTGTCCTGAGAAATACCAACCAAAGGTGCTTGAGACCTCCTCACGCTGCTGCTCCAGAGAAGGTTCCCGTGACTTGATTTTATTCTTGATTTTCTTCTTTTTTTTCTTTTTCATACCCTGTGCTGAATAGAGAAATACAAAATTTCAGGCACCACACACCTGAGCAAGGGTGCCTTTGTCACCAAACCAGCTGAGAGCACTGCTGGTGGCGGGTGTGCAGTCCTCTATTGCCCATCCCCTGTGGAGATGCTCAGGTGTCTCCTCTTCCCCTCTGGATCCCTGTGACCTGGCTCTGCACTCAGCTGGTCTGCAGGCAGAGCTGATGGAGGTGGCGGCCACCAGTGGTCCTGTATTTGGTCACATTGCCAGGCCTGCCCACAGGCCCCTCTCACCTGGGTGTGGGGTGGCCATCCCGATGGCTGAGGGCTCCTCCTGCCCGACCCTGTTGGGGAGCAGCAGCCCCCCGGCAGCCCCTACTCCCGGCCCCTCCGGCTCCTCGGCTGGGCCTGGCTGCCCCAAGCCCTTCTTCTTCACCTTCACCTTCCTCTTCCTCCTCCTGGGGCCCTTAGCGCTCTCCTCCTGGGCAGGGAAGGGGGATGAGGGGAGGGTGGCAGAGCCCCTCTCGCACCCCGTCCATCCCGGTCCCATCCCGGTCCCATCCCTCACTCACCAGGGGCAGGAGGCGGCAGACGGGGCGCACCGCCCGGGGCTCCCCGTTCTCCCGAGCATCCTCCGCGGGGAGCGGCCGGTCCCTGCGGGAGGAGCACAGCGCGGTGAGCCCGAGCGCTGCGGGGGGAGCCGGGGCCAGGACGGGCTCTCGGACCCGCACCCACCTGCGGGCGGGCGGGCGGCCGCGGGCGGCCCGAGGGGCGGGAGGCACCGGGGCGGCGTCCGGCGGGGCCGGGGCGGCGGCGGCGGCGCGGAGGAGCCAGCGCAGCCCCTGCAGGGTGGTGCGGGCCGGGCCGGCGGGGGGGACCCGCTTGGCGACACAGGGCTCCTGGGGACGGGAGAGCGGGAATCAGCGCCGGGCGGGGAGCGGGACCGGGAGAGGGAGCGGGGACGGGAACGGGAGCGGGGAGAGGGAACGGGAACGGGAGCGGGAACGGGAGCGGGGAGCGGGAACGGGAACAGGAGCGGGAATGGGAACGGGGAACAGGAGCGGGAATGGGAACAGGAACGGGTGCGGGGAGCGGGAACGGGAGAGGGGAGCGGGAGAGAGAACGGGAGCGGGGAGCGGGAACGGGGAACGGGAGCGGGGCCGGGCCCGCACTCACGATGCGGCACGGAGAGCGGTTCTCGTTGACCAGGCGCTCCAGGCACAGCCGCTCGATCAGCTCGCAGGGCAGCAGCGCGGCCGGCGCGTCCTGCTTGTTGGCCAGCCTGGGGCACGGCAGAGCGGCCGTCACCGCCGCCTGGGCCCCGCGCCTCGCCAGGGAGGCTGTGTGCTTTATCCCGTCTGGCTGCGCTCAGGTGGAGCACTGCCCCAGCCTCGCCTGGCACCGCAGCCCCCTCCCCTCCCCACCTCACCTCCTCCCCATGGATGCTCCGATCTCCCAAGCGCTGCTGGGCTGCTCGTGTCCCCGCGCCCCCCGACAGCTCCCGGGGCGCCACCTCCCGCAGCCCCCGCCGCAGGGTCCCGCTCTGCCCCTCAGCCCCAGCTCACGGCCTGCATCCCAATCTTACAGCAAGAGCGGCTTCCCGGAGACATCAGGGTGGCTGAGGACGCGGCCCAGGACCTTGCGGGCCTCCTCCATCCGTGCCAGGTCAGCGGAGTCCAGCACGAAGAGGAGCCCGTGAGCCTCGCTGTAGTGGCTGCGCCAGGCGCTGCGGGAGCGCTGTGCCCCGGGCAGGTCCCGCAGGGTCACCTCGAACCTGTCCACCCGCAGGCGGCTCTGGCCGGGCTGCGCCCCGGGCAGCGCCTCCCCGGCCAGCGCTGGGGTGGGGAGAGCGCACGGCGCTGGCACAGGGACCCGGGAGCATCCCTGTGCCCCGTGCCCCTGTGCCCCGGCCACATCCCCGCTCCACCGCCAGGGCTGCCCGGGACACGCCGTGCCCTGCGCCCACAACAGCCCTGGGGCTCGGGAGCATTGGTCCCTTGGCTCCAGAGGACCACAACAGCCCTGGGGCTCGGGAGCATTGGTCCCTTGGCTCCAGAGGACCACAACAGCCCTGGGGCTCGGGAGCATTGGTCCCTTGGCTCCAGAGGACCACAAAGCTGCTGCCCCCGCCCGGGGCTGGCTCGGGGCTGTGCCGCTCCTCACCTCTCTCTATGTCCGCGATGACGGAGGTTTTCCCCGCATTGTCCAGCCCCATGACAAGGAGGGTCACCTTCCTGGGGAGCAACAACAGCAGCTGAGCACCCCAGGAATGGCTGTGCTCCCTGGGGACAGTGACCACCGCTGGCCCCAGGCAGGGGACCCTGCCCATGGCACCACATTGCAGCCAGGAGAGGGGCAGGACAGGGACACAGGCTCTGTCTCAGCTGGGGACAAACGCAGGGACAATCCCTGGTGCATGGGAGGGGGTGAGGACAGGCACAAGTGCCTGGAGCCACCCCAACACCATGGGACAGCCACGCTGCAGAGCCTCCAAGGTGCTTCCTATGGCAAGGATTTATTTTCAAAGCATGTAAGATTAAGCAATCATATGAACAGGCCAGCATGATTCTTTCTTATATGCAGTCAATGATTACATCTCCCTTGCAGTAAATTTTGAGTATTCACAGGTAGGGAAAGGTTGCAAGGATGATTTTATGAGCTTCTGCCTGGACTCAGGTGTTTTTCCTGATGCTAAACAGTCCTGTCCACTCTCCACCAGAGCCACACAGGCAACATTTTCTCTGCCACTGACCAGCCACTACAGCTATTTGCAATACCATTTTCTCCTCTAAACATATGGAGCAGGCTGCATGGCAGTGGGGGTGGCACGGCTCCACCTCCAGAATTACAGCAGGTAAGGGAAGGGAAGGTAAGGTGTCCTCTCTGAGGGAGAGGAGCATAAACCTCCTTGCAGTGCTGTCCCAGGGAATTAGCCTGGATGTCCTGACACATGCAAACAAGGCAGGTGTTTCAGTCCATCCTCCCCAGCTTTCCTGGGGAGCTGCTGACTCTGCAGAGCCGGGATCCCCGTGGAACCATCCCTGCATTGCATCCCTGCCCAGCCTGCTTCCCTGCCTGCCAGCTCCTGCCTGCTGCAGGGGCAGCGAGGACACACGTGTGCCCTGCTCAGCAGTCTGGGGACGGTTCAGGCACCTGTGTTCCCCTGTCACCACCCTGGTGACACTCAAAACACACGGGTAAATATTGTCACCCCTGGGAGCCCCAGAGCGGGCACAGGGACCTACCTGACGGGCTCCTGTATGGCCTGCAGCCACGACCAGCAGTGGGAGAAGAGGTGGAACATGGTCTGCAGCCCTGCACGGAGGGGTGGCCTCTGCAGCACCCACAAAGCGAGCAGCCCAGCGTGTCCTGTGCTTCATCCTCCTCTGGGCTCTCTCTTCACGGCAGGGAACATCTCATCCACGGTGCCCTGTCCCATGGCACAGCACTGCTGCCTTCTGTCTGCTGTGCACAAGCCAAGCCTGCAGAAAAATCCGTCCTGGGCAATACCCCATGAGCACAGTCCCTGCTCTCAGTGCCCCTCACATCAGGGGTGCCACTCACTCTCTCACCTGCTCATCCCCTCTGCTCACATGCCCTTTGCGTAGCAGCTGCTTAAACCTAATCTGGATTTAAGTTACTTACTCCTGCAGGCTCCTTAATCTGGGTGGGTCGGGCCAGGCCAGTGGCTGCAGGGGCACAGCTGTGGTGGCACTGCCACGCTGGGTGGCACTGACCCACCCACCCCACTGCAGCCCCATGTCCCCATGGCTGCTGGACGTGGCCCGTGGTGGGGACACTGCCTGAGAGCCACGTGGGCTGAGCCAGGGGCTCCTCTGAGGAGCAGCATCTCTGATGTTTGTCTGCAGCCCCTCCACAGGGCATGTGTGCACAGCTCTGCTGCTCACCAGGGTCCCCTGTGAGCTGGGCTGGGGACAGCACTGCTCACTGCGTGAGTCTTGTGCCCTAGCAAGGGCACTGAGTGACAGCAGGCCCTGTGCTCCCAGGGGTGGAAACAGCAACCAGCCCCAGCAGGAGCCTGGCTGGGAGCAGGGAAATGGTGGAGACCCTCAGACCACAGGGCAGAGAGTGGAGGAAAAAACAGGCCAGCCCTTCGATCTTCATCTCTGAAGCTCTTATCTTGCTTCTCAGGTTTCCTGCTTCTTTTCCCAGCCAGAGCTGCCCTCCCTGGCTGGCTGCCACTGATGTGTGTGGAGAAGTCACACTGGGATGTCTGAGCTGCAGGAGCTCTGCATGGGGGCAATGGAGTCAAGGGGACAGGGATCCTTCAAAAGCCATGCCCAGGAGCAAACAGGGAGCCTGCTGCCTCACATCAGTCTGTGCCAAAATACCCAGCACCAGCAGGACCACCTCGACCAGCTGGGCACCAACCATGAGCCAAAGATGCTGAGACACTGCCCTGGCCCCAGGGGTGCCAGCCCAGGATGGGCACGGCCCCAAGCCCTTCCCTCAGCCCCACACACTGCTGGGAGCTCAGCACCTGTCCTGGGCAAGGGAGGGGCCCCAGTGCCATGCCATGGGCAGGCAGCCAGGCATGGTTAATGGTTGATGAAGTTGCTGCTCTGATATCACAGCCAGATGCCATATTTGGGGTGACTGGTCACCCTGTGCTGCTGATGGTGGGGCAGTGGCAGCACCTCCCTGTCCCCATCCTGGTGCCTTTCCCAGTCTGTCTGTGCCTGTGCCAGCAGGCTGCACTGGGGAGCAGCGGCCGGGGCAGGTTCACACCCAGCATGGGCTGTGATGCTTTTTGCAGAATTTGCTGTCTGAGGGCTGAAATGATCTGCTCCAAGTGTCAGCTCTTGCCTCTGTGTCTAGGGGTGGCACTGCCAGGGGACAGCCCGGCAGGGACAGGAATGTGCTATAACATGACCACAGGTGCTATAAATAGGGAAGTGCCGTGTGTCAGGCAGCCTGGAGGCAGCGGCTCAGCTTCCTGAGGGGCAGCAGGATCTGCTCTCCCTCTGCCACCAATGGATTTCCAGGCATCTCTGAACACTTGGGGTGCCACTGCTTTTAAAACAAGTGTCCAAAATCCCTGGTGAGACTGGAACTGGGGACAGGAAACCCCCCAGGAGCCCGAGGCAGCTCCAGGTCATGCCCCCCAGTGCACACACACCAGGATCAACAGCCAGGAAAACCTCAAAATCCACCCCAAATCTGGTGAAAGCCACACTCGGCTCCAGGGAAGCGGCACGAGGCCTGAGCCCACATGGATGTGAGGTCTGCTGTGAGTTCTGCTGTGAGTTCTGCTGTGAGTTCTGCTGGGGCTGAGCTCAGGTTAGGAGCGGGCAGCTGGCCCCGTGCCCACCCGCCCGCCCAGGGTGCAGCCACACACCCAGCCCTGCCAGGGCCACTGGGCCTCCCCAGGCGGTGCCAGCGGGGACCAGCCACAGCCATTCTGGTTTCCTTGGTGACTGTTGCCAGGTGAGAAACTCTGAGGCAGAATTTATTATCTTGGCAGATGAATGAAGATGTTCCCCAGCGGAGCTGTGAGCAGCCTGTGCCCCGAGCCGGGCTGGAGCCCCTAGTGCTGCCAGCAGCCCCCAGGGAGGGCAGTGCCTGCCCTGGCATCGCTGCCCAGAAGGCAGCAGGTGCTCTGGGGCCATTCCTGCCCGCTGGGAGCCGCAGGAAGGGAGTGAGGAGGAACCACGGGCAGCACGCAGAGGCGCAGATGGCCACGGGCTGCCCTGCCTGGGCTCCACTAGACCCCGTGAGTACGTGGGGCACAGGGGGGAAAAGGGAACCCCCTGGCACCCCGGGCAAGCAGCAGGGCTGGGGGGATGGCTGGGGACCTTGGACCTGGGCAATGAGGGCTGGCAAGGGAACACAGAGGGCAGAGCAATAGGGGCTGCTGCAGCCTGCAGAGCCTTGAGCTGAGCTGACACCAGAGCCAAGGTGATGGCAGAGACCAAAAAGTCCTGGCAGAAATATCAGCAAGCTGCTCTGCTTTGCCTGGAACCGCATCAACTCTGCCCAAAAAGGGACCTGTGGTGGGCAGGGACACACACAGGCTCTGAGGGGAGCCTCATCTCTGTGTTTAATGTGTGATAGGACAGCTCTGAGCTGGCAGGTATGCCAACAGCCACATTGTCCCTTTAAATCCCAGCACAGCGCTGGTGGCTAACGATAACCCCGGATCACGGCGGCTCCCAAATCCCAGGAGCTAATTACAGGCACACGCCCCGCAGCCAGGCTGGGAACACAGGATATTTACAGCCTGTGACACCGAGACCTCTTGCTGAGGAACTGGGGCACCACGGGGGTTTGCTGGCAGGGCACTGGGGACAGGGGATGGTTTGCACCCCACTTCCATGCAAACATTGCAGGCAGCCATTCCCCGAGCTCTTTGGGGTATGGGAGATGGTTTCTCCTGGGCGTTCTTTGCTCCCCAGGCCGGTGGTGGGGCAGGGGCAGGCAGGAAGCAGGCAGGGAGCTGTTTGCTTTTCACCCCATTCCTGGCACGGAGCTTCCCAGCCAAAGCACACACACACATTTCTGGGAGAGGCTGGGATCTGACCCTGTTTGCTCTGCTCCCTGCTGCAGGACGAGCTGAGCTCTCTCCTCATTCCCTGCCCCGTGCCACAGCTTGGGGAGCCCCTGCCATGGCCACAGGCCCTACCCAGGCTCCTGCACTGCTTTGCTGGGAGCATTCTGCTGCTCCTGCTGCCTTCCTGCGTGGGGGAGAGGCGAGCATAAACTGTTCCTCCTGCCTGCCAGGATGCCCAGGGCACAGTGGGGTAGCACTGTGCCAGGGCTGTATACTCTTGCAGCAGGGACCAGGGGAATCAGTTAATTAAAGGTAATTTTAACCCTTCCTGCCTGGTTTAGTGTTACAGCATCACCCACTGCCTGTGCTGGGGCTGTAGCCAAGGAGCCACGACTTCAAAATGTGTAATTATCACAAAGATCTGTAAATGCACCCAAAGGTAACTCTGCTTTCCTGCTAAAGAATTGAATTGTGAGGCAGCTGGCGTGGCCTGTGCTGTGCCTGCAAGCACCCTCTGGCAGCACTGAGCCCGTGCCCAGATCCAGCAGGCTCAGCACAGCCCCCAGTGAGCTTTAGAGGGATGAGGTGCTCAGCACAGACACCAGATTCCCTCCCTGCAGGGTCAGAGTGGGGCTGCACGAGGAACTGGAGTGCTGAAAGCAGTCGCATGATGAAGCAAATGGAATAAATATTTCCCCAACCAGAAACTATTCCACAGACTGCTGGGGCAGGGAAAAATACAGCTGAGTTACTGTGAAAGCAATACAAAATCCAAACAGTTTAGGCTGTGGAAACCAGTCATTTGCAAAGCTATTTCCAAACTAAGTCAAAAATTCCCAGCTCACAGACTGCTGGGAAGCTCCCAGCCCTGCCAGGGGGGCAGTGTGGCTGCACTGAGGGGACAAAGCTGCGTCCCCTTCCCACACACCCGTCAGGCTGGGGGACACTGTGTGGCTGCCACTTCCCCCAGCCCACGGGGCCGAGCCACCGTCCCCAGTGTCACTGCCTGGCACCTGCTGGGTTTGTGGTGCCCCATGCCAGCACAGCCCGTGCTCCTGAGCAGCTCTCAGGCCTGAAGGCAGCCTGGCCATCCCCACAGCCCTGCTGCTGCCTCCCCCTCCGTGTGCAGGCTATATTTGGGAAGGCAGCAGAGAGCTGGGCATGTTCCAGCGAGCACCCTGGGAGTGGTGTTTGCTCTGGGTCCCAGAGAGGAGAGCTGGGGGAGCAGCTGGCAGCTCTCCCTACCTGGGCTCTTTAAGAGCCTGGCTCGGAGCTCCCTGTCTTTTCCAAACAATTTTCTCTTCTCCTTTTACAGGAGCTGAGCCGCCAGGCAGGCATGTGCAAAGCAGACAGGGCTATTTTGAGACTGAGAGCCGGTGAGGAAGCTTGCTCCCACCCCACATACAGCCCAGGCTCCCACACACAAGTGCCCTGGCACATCCAAGGGGCTGGGAAAGCTGCACAGCAAACCCTGAGGCTTCACACAGTGGGCAGCCACCACCACCACTGCCCCTGGTGCAAGATGTGCTCTGTGAACACTGGGATTAATAAAAAAAATTATGGAGGCTGGGATTAATAAATTAATGAAGCTGGGATGCTGTCCAGGGCTGGGCAGGCACCTTTGGAGACAGGAAAATTGACATTTGCACCTGGTAGTGAGACTCAGGCTGGTGCCTTGGGCATCCCCAATGATCCTTGTGGGTCCCTTCCAGCTCAGGAGATTCTGTGATTCTGTGAATCTGTGATTCTGTAATTCTCTGAATCTGTGATTCCGTGTTTCTGTTATTCTGTGA